CAGTATTGGTGAGCATACAATTTGCACTGTTTGTCACTAATATGCAAGAAAAATTATATCCCCATCATAATAATGGTGTATGTCAAAGCAAAAAAATAAATTTAAGGTAAGCAATATATCTTAGGTACATTTAGGTCCATAGATATAAAAATATGTCCATAGAAGATATTTTTTAGAGATTCAAGATGTACAACCCTATTCCACTTGGGTTTCGAGGTGTAAATAGTTCTTCATGACAGCTTACACAAAGGTAATGCTAACCTGAGGTCATGACTTCACTGGCACAGTGATTCCCTTAAAGGCTGATATTATATATAACATAATGAAATCAGTATGTCATCTTTATTATTCTAAAAGTGCATGTTCTCACCTCCATTAGCAACATTAAATTTGATCCCAAAGTCTCCTCCTGGGCCTCCTGGACTGTGGCTTGCAGTGAGAATGATCCCACCAATGGCTTTTATCTTCCTGATGATGCAGGAGACCGCTGGGGTGGACAGGATCCCGTTGTGTCCAATGACCAGACGTCCGATCTGAAATCAAAGTTTTGGTTTGATTGGTGTGAAGTTTGATTTATCTCATTTTTTTCAGTGAGAGAAAAATTTTTTTTTACTTTCTTTAAAATTTCTTCTTTTGTGATCCACAGAATAAAGTAAGTCATACAGGTTTGAAATGACAAGTGTAAAAGTGCATATTTAAACTTAAGATCCTGAATAGGCTCTTTGCTTCCAGACTTTCACCTGTCATGCAAGGGTTATCATAACATTATATGGTGGACTTTAAACCTGCACCTTTCAGAGGCGCCAGTCATGGCTACTGCTGCATACCAGATCAACAGCTACATCTGTCTGGTAGCTCATTCTTGTAGGAGTGACAAGCTGACTCAGGGACAAAACTAAACAGTTGTGTGCAGGGTTCTTTATTTGCAACACACACTAATAATTTCTAAGTACTCAAAGGAGACTTGACATACAATTCCATCTGCCATAAATTGCAACCTCCTTTGTCAAGCGTTCAGATAATTGTGAGATACTTTCTTTCTAGCTCACAAGACAGCAGCCCAGACATCTCAGCAACTTTGTAACTCATTAAGCTTTACAAGATCAGCCACTTTCTATTAATAGTGAGTTATTTGGCATCTCTCACTCAAGCATTTAAAATGAACAAGTGCACTGACCTTAGGCTTTTCTTTTCTTAGTAATATGCCAGTTTAACACTTCACTAGATTGATGCTTTGCTTAGCCTGTTGTTTTTACTTGCATCTCTCAGTTGAAGCTTGATGAGTGTGAACTGTATTCCCAGCACTCTTTGAGCAGCTTATCCATATAAGGTTCTGCTTTTGGATACACAGCCTCGGTAATACATGCCTCTGAGAGCTACCGAGTTTGTATGGAAGAATGTCACTGATACAAAGAAGGAGAATTAAGGGGGGGGGATGATGTGGCTGTATTTTATAATATGAATGGAATAAAATAATGTATAACATCAAAAACAATGACTTCAGGCTTTATGCTCAGACTGAACTAAACATTAAATCTTCATTAGAGGCACAACCAAATATGCTAGAAATGTTGACAAACAGAGTTGATGAAACATTATGGCTCATAGCCATATGTTCTGGGTTTCCCCGTCATTCTGACAAGAACATGAGAGGTAAAAACAAGGGAAGCAGCGGCTCTCCAGGAAGAGTGTGCAGGGGAGGGATGGCACAACAGATAAGACAGGATACATTTGGCCAGGCCAGGATAGAGATTTAGCTCTAAAACTTTCTGTCATTATGTGCACAGTTTGTAGCTTCTCAGGTTTTCCAACAAAATGCTCAGCTGTTTGGGATTTCAAAATCCAGATATAAGAGCTCTCAAACATTATATAAAAACAGATATGACCATTTATACTATAAATCCATTTAACGCTATACTGAATCATGCAACTAAACATGTCCACCAGATATACAACAAATCATGCTATAAAGCTTGTGCATTTTTTAAAGACACATGAAATGATAATTATAAAAATAACAATAAAATAGACAAATAATAATAACAAAAAATTAATACACCAATAGGTAAATAAAACCGATGGTACCTTTTTGTTGATATAGATCAGAAAAATTATTAAATGTATTAAATAAATAAATAAACAATTTTTTATGAAAGAAAGAAATGGGCTTTCAGTAATCTGATGTTAGCTTTCTGAAGAAACACATAAGAACATTTATTAGAAATGCTATTGGAATACATTTTAAATTACTGAACTAGAGAGACATGCATGAGATTTTCTTTTCCCTTTAAAGAAATATAAACACCATCTTACCCCATTGGCAGCTGTCATTTGAACGATGACTTCAGTTGCAGCCCGGCTGAAGTATCTTCCATCGCTGCCCACCACCATAGTGCATCCCTGACGGTCCCTCAAGTCGATGGAGGACAGCAAGCTTTGGATGTAATTTTGCAGATAGTTCTTTTTACTTTCGAAAACCGCTGTCTTCTTTCGCAGCCCATTTGTCCCTGGTCTCTGGTCATCGAAGGGGGTAGTTTGGATAGTCAAAATGGGTATAGGGTTAGTTTCCATGATTTTCTGGAACGCTTCGGGATGTCAAAAAATTGGTTTGTTAACAGCTGAATGAGGTGTGATACAGTGTTCAAAATATCGTCAAAAGCAACAGAGGAAGTTCACGGAGACAGCGAGCAGGGTGCGCCACAGCGCAGTGCGCTTGATTCCAAGTGAATTATTTGAGACGCGTCCCGTGACGCTTCTTTGGAAAACTAGTGTACGACAGCTGTCTTGTCATCGCACCACACAAACTGTGAAGTAGGGCCACAAAATACAGAATAAATGGGTGTAAAACGCAAATAAATATTCCAAAATGAGGTCTTACGCTCATCGACACTCTTCTCCCGAGCTGTCACGCGTACGTTTGCTTGCCACAAGGCAGGGAGGGGAGAAAACTCTATATAATGAGCTAACGCACCGATCCAAAAATAGCCCATGATGTGGGGGAGCGAATAGTGACAGTGTGTGCCGCTGTGTAATCGAGCACCTCGACTGTCCGTGGCGCACTGGAGCTACACGATGCGCCAAGGTGGACAGCAGATCTCATCTGACGCACACTTGATCACAAACAGAAATGTCATAACATCCATAAAATTAAATAACATTAACCAAGACAAGAAGGAATGAGATAAATAACAAACTGACCAAATTTCCAATCCCAAAACAGAAAAGGGAGACCGAGGCTGGTTGGCCCAAGAGTAATGGGTTTGAGTCCGTTAAACAAATTAAATTGTGTGTCAATTATACAAAAGTCAAATTAAACAAATGTGTTAGCAGTGGATTTATGTTGGTTTCAATCATCTAATTCAAAAACCTTTTCAATTACAATAATTTTGTGAATTCTGTTCTCCAAACTAAATTTAGTATCATATTTTGTAATAGCTCGTGAGTAGGCTAAACAAGTGAAAACAAATGATATCCATTCAAACAACAGTCAGCTATGTAATTAGGTAGATTTTGAAAGGTTGAACTGTGTTCTGAGGACAAGGAAATTTTTCATAAATGCCAGGCCGAGGCAAGTTGTCAAATGCGTTTCTTATGTTGTAATTTTAAGTATTGTCTACATAATTTATAATGGCCAAAACAATGGTTTGATATATTTGTATGTTACTTTCAATAATTGTTTTGAGGCATGTATCCATACAGAAATGGACTTTCAAAAACCTTTTCTAATAAATATATGGAGTGAAAAGTGTAACAGATAAACCATAAGCCTATTTGTTTTCGCTGTAAATGCATTATTTGTCTTATTATAAAACATTATAAAGCAGAGGCGGACGGTAGTGAAGTATTTTTACTTTACTCAAGTAAATTTAAAAAGTATCTGTAGTTTATCAGTGTTTTTCTTTGGAAAACTTTACTTCACTACATTCCAAAGCATAATGTCATACTTTTTACTGCACTACATTCAATAAATAAAAGTTGTTGTTTGTTTTACCTTTAATACTTAAGAACTTTAAAAATGTAGTACTTTCTTGTCCTCAAGTAAATCTTTGAATTACTTTTACTTGAGTAAAAGTAAGAAAGTACTAGATTTCTAATGTAATTAAGTATTAAATGATATTTAATATGTAGTGCAGTAAAAAGTACAATATTATGCTTTGGAACGCTGTGAAGTAAAGTTTTCTAAAGAAAAACACTCTGATAAAGTACAGACACTTGAAAAGTACTTTTAAAGCAGAGTAAAAATACTTCCCTACTGTCCGCCTCTGTTATAAAGTGATATTTGAAGTCAAGTAAATCAGTCAAATTAACCGAGCAAGCACATGCGTCTCAATGCATCGAGTGCGAATAATTTCACGAGCTTCAGTCTCCATCTAGTGGACACGAAATGATAGAAAATGTCTTGCAAGCAGTGAAAGGGATTCTGTAAACTATAATGCACGCAACTCGCTGTTACTGGTTTTAAAATGCGAGTAGGCTACTGAACGCGCATTCATAAGCAATCTTTTAACAATTGGTAGAGCTTTAACTTTAAAAACAATTTAAAGTCAATGTAAAGTTAGCCTATTTCCCCCTCTTTTTTATAGTTTTTTTTAATTAAATATACATTACTCAACATTCCAACATATAGCCAACAATTAAAGCGATTTTAAAATAACCAGTCTTTTGGGTTTTATAAATAAATTAATGAGCAAAATGCACAATTTCAGTTAGTTACTATACGGTCTTTATGGGGGAAAAAATACACGATACTCGCCTAAAAATTGGTAATGAGTACCAATAATGAGTAATATAACACATAGCCTAGGCCTACTTGAGATTTGACGATGATGGTTTATTTAAACAGACATTTTAATACATCCACTTTCCAGGATTTTAGACTAGCAAATATATTACCATTTATTTATTTACATTATAACTATCATATAAGAGCAATGACAGAAATATCTTATGTTACAAGTCTATTTAAAACGACAAGAGTTTGTGAGTTTTCCAGACACAGTTCAACAATGAGGAGGGTACACCATCCGCAGAGTTTCTGTGAAAGGAACAGTCTTCAGCACAGGAGTCCTTGTTGGCACTGGTAACAAACTTGGAGTCACACATGATGTCGGCCTGGCAAATACATAACTGTAGTCAGGTGTGAGATGATGAGCAGAGTTTTTGCGAGGAGACGCCGTTGATTTGGCCATTATGCTGTCAATACTGAACGAACACTTCTGGGTCTTGTGCTCGGGCCTTTGCTGGATTTCTGGAGCTTCGTGGACCTTAATGTTGAGAGTCTGATATTGGAAATGTGGAGGTGGCACCATGATGCCATCCGGCACTGGCAAATATCCAATAGGATTAGCCTGGGCTGGAACCGGCCCAGAAACGCAGTAAGGACGCCCATATGCTCGATAACTTAACGTTGGGTGGAAAAGCAGCAGGTTGTCTTTGGTGAACTCGGGTTGGTTCCTCTTGAATCTTTTTCTTCTGCGCAGAAAGCTGCCGTTGTCAAACATGTCCTCAGATGCAGGGTCCAGGGACCAGTAGTTCCCTTTCCCCGGGTTTCCAGGCTCTCGTGGGATCTTGATGAAGCAGTCGTTGAGTGACAAGTTGTGTCTGATGGAGTTCTGCCACGCGGGGAATTTCTCCTTGTAGTACGGGAACTTGTTGCTGATGAAGTCGCAGATGCCGCTGAGGGTCAGCTTCTTCATCGGGCTCTGGAGGATCGCCATGGTTATGAGGGCGATGTAGGAATAGGGAGGTTTGACGGCGGAGTTTTGCTTTGGAGCGGACGGGGTGGAGAAGCTGCTATCGCTCTCTCCTGAAGACTCGGACCCTGAGTGGTCCACCTCCGCGGGGTCCTTGCAAGGCATGATGAAATACTCTCGGTCGCTATGGTCTCCTCCGACGGTGTCTATTTCATCGTCTTCAGAAGAGACGGGGGTACGCTGCACTTTTTCGTAATCCTGGGAAAGGGTCATGGTTGGAGACCATGTGCTGGACGCGACTGTGGTTGGTGAAGCTTGTGGCCGGTTTGCGGGACTCATGGAAACGCGGACTATTTATGAGAGGCCACACGCATTCCGTCTTTGGTCCGCCGATGGTCAGACCAATAGGGGAGGAGTGTCACCACAGGGATTCAGGACAGTCGGGCAGGTGTGGGGGTCTTGGACCTGCTTAAACAAAACCAAAAAGCCCATTAGAGCATCTCAAACTCAGGAGATGGCGAAATAAGTGTACTGTTTTCAGTCATATTTAATATTTATTACTTTTTTGAACCAGGTTAAATGTGGAATTTTCCTGTTTTATTATAGCCTAGCTAAGACAAACGTTCTGGCAACTTTTTATGTCGCTATTTTGCTTGTTAAATAAGGAACATAATGTAATAGGTTACCTTTAGCTATTATTAAGTAATTTTAGCTTCGTTATTGAAATAATAAATTGATATTATCAAATCCACTTCCAAAGTATGAATCTATTTTTAAACGCATGTGTCAAGTTTCATGCATATTTCGAAAAAGAAAATCTTTTACTATTTTCTAAAGTGTTACGTAGGCCTACGCAAGGATTGCGTGTAAAAAAAAGAGAGAAACTCTATATATTTATTATTAATGCAGTAGTCTATTTTAAAATAAGCCTATATTTGGTGACGCTTTCTTGAGGTTATTTGACCTCAAGTACATTTTTCAATTTTGGGTCACATGACAACAAAATGTTTTTTGCATGTGGTTACACACTGACTTTTTTTTTTTTTTACTTTAATAGCTAATGTTTAAAATAAAAGATGTAATCCTTATTTTAATACATAATATAATGCCAAAATAATTAAAGTCTTTTAATCTCCACACATTTGAACCTTGACATCTTTAAGTTCCACATAATAAAAAAAGTGGATTTATTTATTTATGAACGAATGCGTGAATGAATGAATGAATGAATTGTATTTTTAATGTGTTTTAGATCCGGACAAAAATTTGCGTCGTCACTGAGCCTTTTCTTACAAAAGCCACGTAATTCACTTCCAATAAAAATACAATCGTTATATTCTGTGACCTTTTAGGATTCCTCCCCAATTCAGAAGCAGGTTAGCGCAGTGGGAGCCGGGACGTGTGATGGTGAATTTTCACACCACGCCTAACTACCGGTTTAAAAGACTGATTTTCCCCCGATACCCCCTGGGTTTCGTTTGGTTTGTCACCTCAAGATACCCGCAGGTGGTGTGACCATGAAAATGGCCATGGCCCGGCTCCCCGCATTGAAAGAAGAATGCAGCTAAACGAGCCTATCAACATCAGAATCAAATAGGAAACGGCGCAGCTTTAGCCTACAGGCGAGGAGCGAGTTTTATTGGAGGGCATGAATGAGCGCAGCAATCCTCAAAGCAAACCTTCTTGTGCGCGGATGTGTGTTAAAACTGTTCACAGTCATCTCAATTGCAAATGAAAGGGTCCATCCACTTCCTCAGCTGTGGATGCATGTAAATTTCTGAGAGTACTTGAAAGTTGTGTAAACTAACAGAGCTATTTACAGCACTCATTCATATGTCAATTTAAAGAAATCCAAAGACCTAAACTGATCTTAAAGTGTTTGTACTCAATATTAAGGCTTCTAATAACACAAAGCTAATTATTTATAGTGTGACATGTATTAAAATATTTTCGTACTAAATTGTTGTAATATATAACACATAGAACAACAAACACTAGTGAAGCATTAATGAAATTTGTGAACATTTTTTGTAACTCTTTTACATGTATGCATTTGGAAGACACTTCTAAATTTGTGTTGCACTGAATGTACATATGCTATAATTTCAGTATTGTAACTTGCTCTTAGTTATCATAATATATGTTCCACTAGAGACACTCAACAAAGTAAACTCTGCCAACCAATTTTCGCAATGCATGTTAATATTGCCATTTTCGCCTTGTCACAGAAAGTGTTAAGTGGGTGCTTGTAATGATAGTTCTCACATTGAAAAAAGACACAAATTGAACACGTTAGAAGAGTAATTTATTTGACTGGTTACTGCTATTTTACACGTTACACAGTGAAAAAGTCTATGTAAAATGATTAGTAATTGATCACTTAAATGAATTGTAAAAATAACAACATACTCTTAAAATAAAGACTACAGGTTTTTCAATGTGTCCAAGATATGCATTTCCAGGTATGTATTTGGAGAAAATGTTAATGGAAATGTAAAATAAATGATAGTTTGTGTTTAAGACATTTCAGTTAATATCAGTTTTACTGGTTTGAAATGTGGCGTACAGATGCTTAAAGGATGTTCTACATGTTTAAGAGAAATAAGTGTCCGATTTTAACACTTTTTCCATTCAAAACATCATGGAGCATGACAAGCACCCATTATATACCTGCTGTTGCAGGATTTGCAAAAACTGTGGGTTGCAAACAGAAACAGCTATCTTTTCCAGTGATTTCACAAATGTCTTATGAGATTGTTGTTGTATGGTTTGTATACATGGCCTGGTATATTGTGCACAGTTTCAGTCAGATATCATCTACTCCACGCAGTCTTTATTAGACATGGCTGAAATAAACTCTTTCTTCAGAATGTCGCCATCAAGGTTTCGACCTGAAGTACGAAGACAGTAAATGGTAAATTATTTATGAAACAATTTTTAAATGTAATAAAACAACACATTTTTTCCCCAGCTTTCAACAGGCAGGTTGACAAAGAGTTCTACATAGGTATTGTATGTAAATATCTGATCTTACCTATGAAGACGAGTCGGTTGATTCTCGGCTCGTGATCTGCCCAGGACTCTGGAGTCTCATCCAGCTCATAAAGCTCATGGACCCCCTGCAACATCACCTTCTTCTGTTTCTGCTGGATGGAGAAGATCCCCTGCCACAACACACAACAATCATTTACACAGAGAACAGATTTGATGAACATTAGAATGCCTGTAAAGGATATATGGTTGATATACAAAGGCAATTTAACTTCACAGAAGTCATGATTTTCTAGAATTATTTGGCATTTCGGTGGCTGACATAATGACAACGCAACACTATATATACATAAATGTATCCTCACCTTTAACCGGATAACTATCATTGCCAATCCTGCTTTGTTCTTAAATGTCTTCTCCCACAGGAGATTCTACAAAAAAACATATTCAAGACATTTGTAAAGGTGTTCTTCTGGGTAAATATTTTATTTACACGCGTTTCCATATGCTATATTTGTACCTGAATGAATATATTTAATAGGTCTTCTGACACACTGCCAGGAACTTCAAATGTTACAGTCAGCATACTCTGAAATAAAACAAACACGGAAGCGAAACGTTAAAAACTTGTTTCATTAACAAAAATGATGGGAGCATCTGTCTCCAAACAGCTCAAGTTACATTACAAATGTACATTAGCTTTCAAAAGTTAGATTTTTAAAATGTTTTTGAAGGAAGTCTCTTATGCTCACCAAGGCTGCATTTATTTGTTCAAAAATTCAATAAAAACAGCAATGTTGTGAAATATTATTGCAATTAAAAATAACTGTTTTAATATATTTCAATATATCATTTACTCCTGTGATGCAAAGCTGAATTTTCAGTAGCCATTACTCCAGTCTTCAGTGTCGCATAATCCTTCAGAAATCAATCTCATATGTTGGATTTGCTGCTCAAGACACATTTCTTAATATTACCATCAATGTTGTGCTGTGAAACATTTTTTTCAGTGTTCTTTGATGAATAGAAAGTTCATAAGACCAGCATTTATATGAATTAGAACACTTTTGTAACATTATAAATGTCTTTACTGTCACTTCTGATCAATTTAATGCATCCTTGCTGAATAAAAGTATAAAGTATAAACTATTAATAAAGTATGAAGTTTGAATGGTAGTGTGTAGTGCATAATAATTTTAGTAAGAAATTGCTATTCATTGTGCCTTAAGGTGAATTTTAAATAAAATGCAACAAAATCAGCAGCAGGTATTTATAAGGGATTTTACTCATTTCTGTTTGTACACAAAAACATTTCTAATAATACCTCTATCTTTAAAAGTGTCAGTACAACACCTGAATGAATTTCCCCTTGGTGTTAAACACCTGTACTACTTCAGCACTCATTCTGCTGTACTTCTCTGAGGCGTTACATGGACCCTTTACAGATATTTAAACCATTGTTTGTCGGTGTTAAAAGTTACACACTTCCTTTTTTCCTGTGGAATAACAAGAGAAAACAGGGCTCTCATTTACATGAAAAGAGCAGTGAGGCTTGGCTCGGAAGGGGGAGGGTCGGACAGACTGGGTGGATGCGGGAAAGTGACCCATCTAATGCTAAGAGCTCCTATGGAGAGTTTGGTTCAAGGATAGAAGGACATTGACAACATTTAACATTTATTGAACCTTCTGGTTTGAACAAACCCTGAAAAGAACCTTCTAGAAAGAGAAAGAAAAGAGAAAGAAATCTTACCTACCTCAGAAGTGAAACATATTCAATACACCAATTCAAAATGTCATAAAAGAGTCATCTTCACCTTGTCTAGATGTGGTTGGCTTGTTTTCACCAGCTGCAACTTTTCAGCTAACCTGCAGAACACAAGATTTCATGACATTTAAATGAGAAACAAGCACACTGATTGATGTCCAATGCCTTCAATAAACAACATCCTCTTACATACCCAAATGTATTAGACAGATGTACAGAGTCTTAGCTAAAACCTTTCAAAGGGTTTGACTACACTGACGGCCCCTAATCCTGGTGCTGGTGTGATGCGGACGAGCTTTTGGGTTTAGTAACTGCAAGATTGAGCTTAATACAGAAAGAAAGAAGAAAGCGCGTGAGCTGGCTCTGACCCCTTGGGGAGGGCAAACGTAGCTCTGTGGATTATTCGTCGGGCTGTGAGTACCACACAGCAGACCAGAGGGGGGTCATCCCAGACAAGCAGCCTGTGCTCAAGAGGGCAAATGGGCCACAGTCTTGGGTTGAAAGGCAGTCTGTGTGGAAGTGCTTCTGTACCTTTACTGCAGACACTGCTATAATCCTCCGCAGCTGGGCTGAGACATTCACATTTACTCAGTCTCACTGTAATTACTCTTAAAAAGGGCGTTTCATTTTTTTGTTTTCGTGTAAATCATTAACATTAGCATGAGCTAATGGAGTGTTTGATCCTCATCGGATACACAAAATCCTCTAGAAAAATAGCGGCGAACAGAATCGCTACTATACTTCAGTAAGAATCATGTTGTGTAATTCTTGCAAGTATTCTTCAAAAAACACTTACCTTATGCCGTCTTTGGTATCAAACGAATGTAAATCTAATACTTGAGACAGGTCAACCCTATAAGGAAGGAAAATACACTTAATTTGTATTTATATATAAATACTTATTCTGTCTTTGATGTTATTAATAGATGACAGAAAATAAAGGTAGGACCCTAAAAACTGCTGAAGAAAGTTTTACATTGGTCAGTTTATGAAACTGATTGAAAATAGACTACTTTTCAAAAGTTTGGGGTCAGTTACATTTTTATTTTTTTGAGACATTAATAATTTTATTCAACAAGGATGCATTAAATTGATCAAAAAGGACAGTGAAGACATTTATAATGTTACAAAAGATTTACATTTCAAATAAATGCTGTTCTTCTGAACTTTTTATCCATCAAAGAATCCTGAAAAAAATTATCTCGGTTTCCATAGAAATCTTAAGCAGCACAACTTTTTTCAACTTTGATAATAATAAGAAATATTAGAATTACAATCAGCATATTAGAATGATTTCTGAAGGATCATGTGACACGGAAAACTGTAGTGATGACTGCTGAAAATTCAGCTTTGCCATCACAGGAATACATTACATTTTAAATAATATAAAAAACAGCTATTTTAAATTGTAATATTATTTCACAATATTACTGTAATTTTGATCAAATATATGCAGCCTTGATATGCCTAAGAGACTTCTTCTAAGTACTGACCCCAAACTTTTAAATGCTAGCATACTTATCAGATTACAGGTCTCGATTAATATCTAACTGCTTTAAAATGACAGACCTTTGTTGAATGCAGGGTCAGCTTTATGTAAAAGTGAAGTTTGAAACTGCTTCAAAATATGGTACAATATGCAAACACTTTTTACCCTGGATCACAATAAAGTGCGTTTTGTGTTTTGTGGTTTCTGCATATCCTCCCACCTGGATTTTTGAGTCTCCAAAATCTTTACGAGCCCATTTATTGATCTATAATGAAGAGGACAGAGCACATGTACTGTAAAACAAACTCAAAGACATCTATCAAATGATCACTATAACTAGATTTTTACATTTTCTGATGTAAATGTAAGTGCAAAGGTCTGCCTTACAATGCTAGGGTGTTACGGTTGGTTGCCAGGACATTGCTTTGTGGTTGCCAAGGTGTACTGAATGGTTTTTAATGTTTTAATTAATGTTACTTGGGTGCTCTGGGTTCTGGCTGCTAACTGGCCAAACTGGTTTACCCGATATTCTGGTATAGATATGACTCGGGTACCTCGTAAAACAAGTTTATTTATATATTGTTTTATTTATTTACTTATTTTGACGATTTTATTGTTCACCATGCAAAAATCATAAGAAAATTACTTAACTGATAGTACACAGCAAAGTTTATTACTTTGTGTTAGGGGTTCAGATCATTAACTATAAAGCAAGCACCATTTATAATTAATAAAAAATTTCCTGGCTCCACCACAACACATTTCTGACATGTTTGAGACAGACACCAGAATCCACTGAATAACATACAACTATAGGCTTGCACAATATATTGGTATTACACTTTTGCCGGTATTAACATTCATTAAAAGTTATTTATTAAAAACACTCATTTACGTTAATAACATTGTTAAATATGACCTTTAGCTAATTTCAAAATAAATATAATTGTTCATGGTGTACATTATAATGCTGCGATATCTACATTCACTGAAGCATTTAAAACAATTAATTTTTAGTTTTTAGTGTGTTTGGTAGTTAGTTTAGTATGTTTTTATTTCTAATTTATTTACACAAAATTGTATAGAACTTTAACAAGCAATGTACTGGTTATAGATTATATACGTGTATATAATATATATATATATATATATATATACACACACACAGTGGTGTGAAAAAGTTTTTGCCCCCTTCCTGTTTTTTTAATTGTTTGCATATTTGTCACACTTAAAAGATTCAGATCATCAAACAAATTTTAATATTACACAAAGATAACCTGAGTAAATACAAACTGCAGTTTTGAAATTATGATTTCATTTATTAAGGGAAAAAAGCTGTCCAAACCTGCCTGGCACTACGTGAAAAAGTAATTGCCCCCTAAATCTAATAACTGGGTGTGCCACCCTTTGCAGCAACAACTGCAATCAAGCGTTAAATGGCAATGAGTCTTTCACAGGAATTTTGGCCCACTCTTCTTTGCAGAATTGTTTTCATTCAGCCACACTGGTGTGGCTAGTGAAATTTAACTCAGCTTTCTAAAATAATGTGGTTAATCACAGTTCTTTCATGATTTAGGAGGAGGGGCAATTAATTTTTCACGTAGGGCCAGGTAGTTTGGACAGCTTTTTTCCCTTAATAAATGAAATTATAATTTAAAAACTGCATTTTGTATTTACTTGCATTATCTTTGCAATAAATAAATAAATAAATAAATAAATATATTGGTACTACACCTTTGCCTAAAAGTGAATCTTTCAACACACATCTTTAAACACTTTAAAATGTATTTTTTGTTTTTAAGCAAATGCCAAAATAAACATCTAATTTTTATAGTTGTACATTGTAATGTTGTGTTGCCTGAATTGGTTCTGATTGATTTTGGTTCTCAGTATTTTATTTTTAAATTCATTTAGACAATATAACAGTATAAAATGTTAATATCGACCATTTATTGGTTAAATCATTATCAGCTTTTGAGTATGTCCATCTCGAATAAGAACATATAGGAATATAAAGGGGTCTATGGTTCTCACCTCACCATATCTCTGAGCTCCACCATCTCACTCTCATTCACTAGATCGGTCTTATTGATGATGGCCAGATCAGCAAGAGCTATCTGCCTAAAAACAGAGAGCAGAATTCAGCACCATTCACAATCACCTGATAAATGCTGCCCATCTTTCCTACATGTGTATGGAACAAAGGCAGACGACACCTCAGAGGGTCGCATATGGATTATTCGTCATAAAAAGCAAATCGCTTCTTTGTGCATCTACAGTTGCTGTACGCAAGTATGTGTGATTACAGTCGTACTATACATCAATAGAACAATACAGTACGAGAACAACTCATCCCATTCTCTCTCTCTTTTGTCACTTTCTTTATTGCTCAGTGTTCAATGTCCCACTCTCCCTTTGTAACTAAATGTGTGTGTGTGAGTAAGTATGTAAACACACTTTGCTGTGTTTCATCCATCCCCCTGCCTGTTGTCGAGTCGTGTGTGGGTGGCATAGTTCGTGCCATACTCAAAAGGCGCCACCATTTTGCGTGGTAGGAAAACATAAACAGAGAGCAGAAGCGTTTTTTTATGACTTCTGACACTTGTGAGCATTCCGACATGCCTCCGAACCCCAACAAAAACACCCTGACTGCAGCAGGAGAGGGGAAAGGAGCTGGGCTGGAATCTGATATGTTTTTGCACAAACATTAGCACCAGCTGTCATGTTTAATAGAGATAACAGTCATGAATAGAATTTCAAAAGACCCCACAAGAGGTGCTCATAAAAATGTTGGTGATTGGACAATTTGACTTTTGGATTCTTGTGTTACTAAGATTCTATCTTCTTGTCTTGTATTTTTAACACCATATTTTTATATTAATGAATCAAATAAGAGTTTACCTTTCAGCTTCATTGATAAGACCCTCTGGCTTCTCTTCTATTAGATGCTAAAAGACAAACAGGAAATGACAATGATTACATAACACAAAAGAACTATTAAAACAAACCTTATTAAAACATACAAGGTTTACATTTCATTTTGATGATATTTCAGGGATGCATAAATATATAATAAAAAACAAACAAACAAACAATTATTTTAATAACATTGTTAAATGTAATCTTTAGCAAATTTCAAAATGAATATTATTTTTTTTCACAGTGTACATTATAATGTGATGTTTGAATTTACTTCAATTTTTTTTGCATTTTATTTTAAAATAAATTTTAAAAATGTAATTATTTTAAATAGTATGGAATTTGTATGTCAGAAAAGTATTGGTTATCACCATAATAAAACAAATTAACAAAATAATGATCAAAAATGGTTTTAGTGTTTTATTTTAAATTTATTTAGAGAAATTAGTATGGAATTTTAATACAAAAATGTATCGTTATTGCCATAATTTTAGTTATCAAAACAATAATAAAAAAACTAAAATCACTATTATATTTATCATCTTAAACAGAAAAGTACAAATACAAATGGTTTGTTACGTCTTCAAATGAAGCAATATAGCTTGATGTACTTTCATGCCTAAGACCTCTTTAACCATGATATAATTGCATTGAGTGGTTTATTGCTTTTACAATGTAAAAAAGTAAATTTGCCAATATGCAAAAAATAGATAACTTTATATATATATAAAACAAATAATTCTTCAGACAAAATAGGTAAAATCATTTATTAGACTAAGAGTAAGCTGTTTATGGTTGCAAAACACTATAGCAAGCCAAAACATTCAAAGAATCCAAAGAATTCAAGCGATATTCAGTCACAGGTGTGTGTATTGTGTATATTAGCTATTTTATGGCAGCTATGAATGTAGCTCATCCATCCAGAATTTAGAGTCTGGACTTTATCATTTATAAGATCTAATAGAATGATAAGGACATTTCAAATCTCATTAGGCTCTTTATACTTCTGCACTTGTTCTGTCCAGCTTCCTTCCTGAAAATACATCTTTCACATCGGTGCAGATGAGCAAACTGACATCTTTACGATTACAAGATGCAAACTCACTAAAAGAAATCCAATTTCCAGGATATTATAACTTCTGAACAGTTTGCTTATTGAAAACAATCCAATTTATTTTCCTGTGTGTATTGCCAGTCATCTCTGCTGACTGGCGAGGAGGCATGTCTCATTGTCTGTGTTCAATATGTAATAACATTGAGCTCTGGGAGCGATACAAGCCTCATCATCTGTCTGCACAAGTTTCAAACCAACTGGCAGAGATCAAGGCACACGAGGGCACCTGATGGGCATGTCTGTGCAAGTCAAACCCCTCACCTGACCCGAAGTATCTCTTGTATGGATGAATATATTAAGTGACAATGAAAGAGCAGGACAAAGGGTGACAGGCCCATTAGAGTGATTTGCCTGGATATCTATTATTTCTTCAGTTTCTATCAAGCCCTCACCTGTCTTCACCTCAACAGGCGCTCACAGAACCCCAGAGGGCGGCAGTGCCGAGGTGCTACCTCTGCAATAAAAAGACTGACACCACTAAATTGCAGCCTATTATCCAGGTGTCAGTACCACTGTCCTGCTCCCAGCCTGAAGTGTGAAGAGGAACGGCAAGGGGGGAGATATTTCAGTGGGACACAATACTTGAAGACTAATATAAAATATAAGAATTTTCTGTAAAGACCAAGTAAATGTAATGCCTTCAATTAACATGGACCCAACTTTGTGTTTGTTTATCGTTTTTCCATGTAAAGCATTATATATAACAGTCTGCTTCTTTAATTAATACAAGGCCAAAACATTTAATAACTCTACAATTTAAAATACAAAATAAGTTTTAAATGTAAAATATTATAATAGTCAAATTTTCCAAAAACAATTCTATTAAATGTTTTATAATTTATTATTTTATCAGGATCATTTAAATATCTTTGATGTGTTTATTTTATTATGAATATTATTTAACTTAAGATATATATTATTCCTATTCATTTCACATTTCATATTTAATTATTTTTCTATTAATTTTTATAATTAATTTTTTCCCCCAGATTTTTTATATGGCTCACTTTTATGTTTATTCAAATATAATTTATGAAAACATTTTATATTTATTCATTTATAAATTATTATTTAACTATAATAAATTTTATTTAAATAAAAATTATTTAACTCAAATAAACTCTTAAATAATCTACTAAATTATATAATATAAAATAAGTAATTTTGTCTGTGGTTTGACAGAATGGAGCAGCAACTTACCTGCATCCCATATTTGGCATCTATAACTGTGACAATACCTATGTAGGAGATGAGGACACTGAATTATACTGACAGGTAAACCATCAATGACTTCATCTGAGGCAGCATTTATTAGTTTAGGTTCTTACCGTCCAGATAGACATCACTCCCTAATTCTGCATCAACCCAAAACATGGAAGCAACAGCTCCTGGTTTGGAAAACGTATATAAATTAATTGTACAAAATTACACACACAGACACGCACATAAAATCTAAATAATTATAATTATTTCTCTATTTACTGTAAATATACAAATGGGAAAACACAATTAAATTACCATTGTAATAAAAATATTTTTTTTAATATAAAAAATGATGTAAAGTATAATTTCATGACACTCACCACTGGAAGGTTTAGCAATAAAATAATTTTATTATATTCTATGCTTCAGTGTAGCATTTTATTAGGTTTTGCAGTGTTTATCAAGTTACTGGACACTTTTTGCCTTAAAACTCTGGTAAAAAAACTTAAATGGGTTATGGGTGTAGGTGTGTGCTTTAAAATGCATAACTTAATTTTACGGGTGGCTTAAAATTTTTCAAGCTACAAGATACATTTGGTTTGTTTCCATGCTTTCCAATTTTACTTGTAAAATTTATTTCACAGTTTCATGTTACAATTTGAGGCCATCTTGTTCACATAATGGAGTTTTGTCAAACTGTCAGGGTAGAATAAGAAAGCATGATAAATATTTGATAGAAGTGTAATGAAGGCAATGTTCTTGAAAGACATCAGATACATAACCCATTCAGCCCACAAGCATCTTCTGAAGAAGGGGAGGGGCTTATCCCCCTGAGGCTCCTAGGAGTGACAGGCCTGTCTCAGCCAATGACAGTGAAGAGGGGCTTGTGTCTGAGCTCTGAGGGCCCTGCACGGCACTGGCCCTTGACACCTGTCACTCATGTACACAGACTGGCTGCAGAGATGCTGCTGATTCTCCTGCCTTTCCATTGATCTCGGTTTCACTTTCAATTGCTTTACAGTGCTTTTTGCTATGTAGGTGAAAACTCCTTCTTCACAAAGATGTCTAAATTGTCTTGCAATGTAAAAAAAAAAAACTTTTAATGTGAAATAACCAATAACAAGTCACCCAAAAGTGAAAATTTGCTTTAGAGTTACTCATCCTCAGACCACCCAAGATAGAGGAGTTGTTTCTTTGGAACAGACTTGGAGAAATTTAGAATTACATGACTTATTCCACATGACTCCAGTCCATCAATGAATGTCTTGTGAATCAAAACTATTAGCTGACACATTAACACATACTGAACTGAACTAAAGCTATTGGCCTCTCGAAGAACTGTCACTTTAAGATCTGAACACTGAATTTCCAGTAATTCTCACCCATCTTCTTTGGACACTTAAGTCTTATAATCATGAACTGCTTTCTCAGAAGTGTTTTTTAATCTTCTCTCCATTGCTTCGGGCCAAAATATCAAAATCCACCAACATATTTAAAACTGGTTTGGAATGTTTTCACTCATAAATGTTGCTTGATCTGTGCATATTTCTTTACTGATTCAGACGAGATGAAACATTTAATTGGACAAAGCAATATTATTGATAGAGGACTCTTAACTCTTAACAAACAAAGATGTTAACTGATGGACTGGAGTCGTGTGGATTAGCTGTTTGGACTCTCATTCAGACGGCACCCATTCACTGCAGAGAATACACTGGAGAGCAAGTGATGTGTGAAGTGAAGTGTAATGCTACATATCTCCAAGTTTATTACAATGAAGAATCAAACTCTTCGATATCTTGGATGGCCCGAGGTTGAGTAAATGTTCAGCAAATCTTCATTTTTTTCGGTGAACTATTCCTTTAATAGCTAAACGCTAATGCTGACTAAGACAAGGTGGATTGCTACTAGTAAGGAAAGCCTTACAATTCTATAAAATTAAATCTAAGCCATAAAACACAGCCTAATCTAAGAATCTGTGTAAACATGGATGTACATATTTTTAGACCTCTCCTATACAAAAGATAACAGATTACAACTTTTGAGCAAGATGGCCAATGGATGCACTAGCTACCATAATAAAGAGATTTGGTAGGTTACGAAGATGTATCTGTTGGTGCACATGAAATACAGTACCTGGATCTGCCAATCCAGTTGTCTCTAGAAGGATGTAGTCAAACTTTCCTTTCTTCTCCATTAGATTTTCAATAGCTTTTAAACCATTGTCTCTGTAAAAGACATGGGTGATAATGTATTATCTGACATAATTCAATATATGCAAGTATACACTAGTTTGGGATTTGTAAGAAGTCTCTTATGCTCACCAAGGCTGCATTTATTTGATAAAAAAAAATATAGTAAAACAGTAATATTGTGAAATGCTGTTACAATTTAAAATAACTGTTTTCTTTTTGAATATACTTTAAAAATGTAATTTATTCCTGTGATGGCAAAGCTGAATTTTCAGCATCATTACTCCAGTCTTCAGTGTCACATGATCCTTCAGAAATCATTCTAATATGCTGATGTAATGCTTAAGAAACATTTCCTATTATTATTATAAAGGTTGAAAATAGTTGTGCTGCTTAATATTTTTGTTGAAACTATGATCATGTTTTTTTCAGGATTCTTTGATGAAAAAAGTAAAAAAGAACAGCATTTATTTGAGATATAAATCTTTTGTAATATTAAAAGTCTTTATTGTCAAATTGATTATTATTAAAAAAAAAAATCAATTTAATGTTTCCTTGCTGAATAAAAACATGAATTTCTTTCAAATTTTTTGAACGGTTGTGTACGTGTTATTTATCACGCAGCAGTAATGTTTTTAATAATCCCATATAAATAATTAGTAATTAGAAACAATTAAATTAATAAAACAAGGACAACAGCTATTTAGTCATTGGAATGTAATGGCAAGCAGAAATAGTGGGTTTCTTAAAAAGTGCAAAAATAGTTCTGTGGTCCAGATGGAACTATATTTATTCTTCATAATACTTCAAACTACAACAGACACACATTCATATACTTTATAATTTTGTCCTAGGGGTGGGCGATATGACCAAAATCTTATTTCACGGTATGAGAAATTTTATTTCACGATAACGATATGTACCTCGATATAGCGATTTCTATTTTATTTTTGTTATTAAAATGAAGAAAAAGAAGCAAATTACAAGCACAACAGAACAAATAAATATGAAATAATTTTTATTTATTCAGCTACAGTAGGCTAGGTTTATTTAACATGTAGTTAGAAATATTACTGAAATTGTATAAAGTGTATAAATAAATCACTGCATAGTCTTCACTATATAAATCAAACATGATTAACATTAATAATGACAGACAGCAGCAGGTAAATAAGGCTGCTGTCCCTTTAAGACCGACTGCACTGATCCAATATACTGAAACACATCCGGTTTTCACCCAACTGTTTATATTTATTTAACATATAACCGACTGTGTTTACTTGAATACTCCACACGACGATTATTATGACATAATGTGTGCGTATTTGACCATTCAAGCACAATAACACACGAAAGAGATCTGTTTTCGCATCGCATGCTGTCGAGAGAGGGACTTTCAGTGCGTGCGCTTCGGCTGTGTGTCAGTCAGCGCGAGCACCGCATTGAGCTCGTTTTCACTGCTTATTGCACTTAATAACTCTATCAAGTGCATCCCATTCTTTATTTTCTCATTCATGCATGTTTCCTTAGCACTCAAAAGGTGTATAACGTTTAAGCAGTACTATGTTACGCAGATATATTTGCATATCGCAGAATACACGATATAGCAAAATCTCTAACAATACACACTTTATTTCGCGGTAACGATATATACCGTCATACCGCCCAGCCCTATTTTGTCCTAGTATTTAGTAGTAGTCTGAACAACCTTACTTCACAGAGCAGCACAGGCAGCCGTTCCTCAGCTCCAGCCACTCCTCATACAGCTCTCCTGCCTGACTGACAGCTAAAGACTTCTCCAGAGCACTGCCTGCGGGACAGCACAGTCCAAACTGGATGAAAGAGCCAGGAGGAAACTGCTCAGAGAGGCTATCAAGAGGCTTACAGCAATTCTGAAGCAGTTTCAGGAATTTATGACAAAGAGTGGTCATTGTGTGCATGTGACAACAATACCACAAATTCTCATAAATGTGGCTTGTATGGGAGGTTTGCAAGAAAAAAAACACTCCTCAAGAAAGGCCACATGCAGTCATGACTGAGCTTTGCCAGGTTTACATTCCAACATGACAATAATGACCTGAAGCACACAGCAAAACTGAGCGCACAGTGGTTGAAGGTGGTCCTTGCATGGCCTAGTCAGAACCCAGACTTAAACCCCATTGAAAATCTGTGGAATGACTTGAAGACTGCAGT